CCTGCTAAAAAGAATTTTAGCAATTGTTTTGTGCATTTCTAAAATTTCAAGCTGATTTATTTAAATCAAAAAATTTTGTTAAGAATTGATTGTAAAGCTGCAAAAATCTGTTTTACAAAAAGATGTACAAAATCTTGCTTCTAAACATACATTTGCTAGATGGCAAGCTATTTTATCTATTTTTGATTTTGATATAGAATATATCAAAGGGAGCTCAAACTGTGTTCCGGATTTTCTTACCAGAGAATCTTGCAGGGAAGATAGATAAAAATGCCATGAAAAAAGGAAGCCGACATTTCAGATCCTCCAATACCTGCTCTTCCTCCGTCGGAGGAAAATATTACTGAAACAATACCCAAACAGTCTGATACAAATGTTGTTTCCACACAACAAACAATTGCAGTTGCCTCCAAGCAACTCCCAAAAGGCGCAGCTGGCCCATATATAGGTCGAGACGAGACGTTTTGTTTTTAATATTCAACGATGCATCTGAGTAGGTTATAAGTCGATGAATCAATAATTCATTAACTGTGTCATAATACAATTAATGAATGTAATTCATTAACTCTGTTATAATACAATTAATGAATACAGTAGCATATACTATAACATGCTATATATGTAGTTAAAATAGCACGAAGTGTGTGTGTTATATATATACAACACACTAACATATACTATAACAAGTTATATATATATATATATATATATATATATATATATGAAGCGCTAGGAACACAGGGTCGGGTTCTTTTAGGGATTGCTTAAATTATAAATTGATTCATCGACTTATAACCTACTCAGATGCATCATTGAATATTAAAAACAAAACGTCTCGACTTATAACCTAGTGATGAATGAATGTAATTCATTAACTCTGTTATAACACAAATAATGAATACTATTATATCAATTAATAGAATAATATTATATTGGTTTATCTATTCATTAATTATTCGTACGTAGTAATATATAAGATTGATCATCAATTACAATATAGTTTATGCGTGTATATGAAATTACTCATATACTTAAATATAACTTAAAAAATTCCTTTACATACATGCTATTATAATCTATTAAAGTTGTATTTGGATGGATACGACTGACTAACACCCTAGAAGAGGCTGGCCCAGTGGGCGAAGAGGCCATGGATGAGCTTCTCTTTCGTTTCGCCTATGGGCCCGTGGAGAAAATCGAGTTTGGATCGCTTGAGGAAGTGCACAAATCCACGAGGATGCATATGCATTTGACGATGATTTGGGAAGGTGTGATAACTAGTGTGCATAAGCTTATGAGAAAGATTCAACAGGAGTAGCATGCGAGATCATATGACAGTTATGAAGAAGGAGTATTGTGGTAACAGATTTTTTAGCATCGAGCGTTTTCATCGACGATTAGGTCATATGGGACAATGTGTTTATAGTTCTTGGATTAGGATAGCTTTGATTAACAAAATGATTTGAGAAGGGTCAATGGGATGGCCAACGCCCGTTTGGTCCTCCACGGAGTATAGCTCACATCCAACATGGATTTTGGGGGGCCTTGGTAAGGAATGCCGACAACTATTTTCACTAATAAAATAAGTTGAAGGGAGAGGGAGCGAGGCTTAGCGAGCTTTATAAGGGCCGACATGTACATAAGTCGCTGGCGAAGAAAGCCGAATAGCTTCCCCTCATTTCATTATAAACCAGTTCCAAGGTCTTCGAGTGCTTTTTCGAAGAATCCTGTAGCAAAGGATCTTGCATGGTTATATGAAGGATGTTAGAATGATCAGGATTCCCGGTCCATGGGTCACAATTAAGTGTATAATAATTTTTTTTTTGTTGGCAAATTAGGGGATGGTGTGTTATTCAGCCTAAGTAATATTGTACATTGTGCTTCACTACTTTAACTAGCAGTCCGGTACATACTACAAATTGTACATCATTCTTCATCACATGTACCTTAAATTTCAATGAAAGCCAAGTGTGACATGGTTTTTAGGTTCATGGGGTATATAGATTCCACCAAACCAGACAGTTGCGATATTGAAGATTTGAAACAGAGAAAGACCAACTACCCAACATCGCCCGCCTCGTTATCCCCCACCCCTCACCCCCACGATTAAAATACAAACACACTGCTACTTTCATCAAGAACCCTTTGATATATTTAATCACTTGAAGCCCTACTCTTCTTGGAAAGTCGAAAAGAAAAAAACATACCCACAAAAACAATCTAGCCGTGCAGTAGAAACCCTTTTATTAGATCACCAGAGCCTTAAGTTTTCTCAAGGCTTTGGATTCAACATGGCATCTTCGTGAGGGTCCTTGTTTATTTTCTTCGTTTTTTCTTCTCTCGTTGTTCCTAATGTCAAAGCT